TATGGACAAAATGGCTAAATTCTCCAATTTTGTATGAGAGACAGCAAATGGGTCCTTTGGGATTTTTTTGCTTTGTTTTTACTTTTTTGTATTTTTTGCTATGGAAGAAAATTGAATCATGCCTTACCTTCACCTTTCCTGCCCGATTCAGATCACCTTGAAAGGAACTGCCAACTTTTTGGCCTTCATCTATCACTATCTGAAAAAAACAGTGGGGGCATCTTGATGAGAAAATGAAACTACCAAAAATAAAGGAGCTGATCTTGTAGCCCTTCAGGCAATAAAACTCCCCTTCCGGTTTTTGTTAATTAGCTATGCATGATGGACCAGATCCACTACGCCATAGTAGTGGTCAGGGAATAGTTTTCAGGTCTGACTTCTACTTGTGCCTCTAGACTCATCCACAGAATAACCTAGAGTAAATTAGTTAACCTCAGTTTTCTCATGTGTAAAATAGGAACACTCCCCACCTCATTACCCCACCTCCCATCCCATCCCAATGAACCTCTCAAGGACAAACCAGAGAATGCTAATACAACATTTTTAAGTTATTAGGAAACAATATCATTGACCATGCCTCTCCACATGCTGGTTAAAGACTCAGAAGAAAATATAATTCCAATTGCTAGTGATTGCCAGTAGAAAGTGAATCCTCTAGGGGGGAAAAAATGTTCTGGGGGTGCCTGGGTGGCTCAGTCGGTTAAGAGACTGCCTTCGGCTCAGGTCATGATCCCAGGGTCCTGGGATCGAGCCCCACATCAGGCTCCCTGCTCAGCAGAGAAGCTGCTTCTCCCTCTCCCTCTGCTGCTCCCCCTGCTTATGCTCTCTCTGTCAAATAAATAAATAAAATCTTAAAAATAAAAAAGTTCTGGTCCCATAATCATCCCATTGGAAGCAAGTTCTGGATTTAAAGAATTGTAGGCCTCTGCCATATATAAACATTTTCCTAACACAGAGACTTTTGTTCCCTCACATGAAACCACAATCTCATATACAACTTTGTCCACAAAAACACAAGGAAGACATGATGAGCTAGAAAGTAGAAATTCAAATGTTGTAAAAAGTAGAACAGCTTCCCCTAGGGTTCCTTGAGAGTTAAAAACCATAGCTAAGGAGAATATGAATATTGTCTATTAAGTCTTAAAGATTAGGAAGAGTGCATCCAATATTTAATGACTAAATCTTGGAAAAAACAAGATAACAGATTTTACTTTAAGAGATGAATCCAGAGGAGATAAAAGAAACTCCCATTTTACACAGAAAACTACAAAAAGGAATTCTTTTGTCCCAAATAGAGGACAAGCTAAAATATGTAAATAATTTCAAGAATTTTTAGATGGCAGTTCCTTAAAGGAACTTAAAAACTTGCGGTTAACCAAGTTACCATCATAAATATTGGCTGCTGAAATCATGAAATGTAATGATGATTTTTGGGGTGCCTGGGTGGCTCAATCAGTTAAGCATCTGACTCGGTTTTGGCTCAGGTCATGATCGCATGGGTCCTGGGACGGGGCTCTGTATTGGGCTCCGCACTCAGTGGGAAGTCTGCCTCCCCCAACTCTCACACTCACACACTCTCTCTCTTTCTCAAATAAATAAATCTTAAAAAAAAAAAAAAAGAAAGAAAAAGAAATGTAGTGATGATTCTTAATAAAGTTTCCCAATGGCACTCCTTCTAGAATTAAGAGTCTGAGTTACTGATCCAATAATTGTCCAATGTTTCTTACATTTTTACAGTTTCTTTCTCTTTTTAATTCATAAAGAATGCTTTTTTCCCTGTTTCTATAAATGTCCTATGGTATTACCTGTTCCTCTTCTGAACATTGTGATGAAGTACGAAGAAAGATGGCTTTATTTCTAAGATGATGATCACTTGGTTCATTTTCACGAGGAAATTTTATTGAAGGAAATATGTTTTCTGAAGAATCGGTTTCAAATGTCCCTCTTTTGGCCACATTATCCTCTGAAATGATAAGTTACATATTAGAAAACATATGCCACACCCAGTCTAGTTTATTTTGCATTTCCTGAGAGTCTTCCAAATAACAACAACAACAAAAACTGCTCTTCAAAATCTACGAACTGAATGCTTGAGGTACTGAGCACTCTGAATTTTATAAAATTATTTCTAAAAATGCATAGAAAGATAACACTGTTTCATTCACTTTTCAACAAATACTTATTAAGTGCTTACTATATACCCAGCACTGTTCTCAGCCATTGCTAAAAGGTCAATAAAGTACAGTATTTGCAAAACTCTTAGACATTAACTATCTCATTTTTTTTCTAAATTTAAGGGGAGGTTTTCCTTATATGGAAGCAACATATGGGTGATTTTGGAAAATTTGTAAGAGAAAAAATTAAAATTAGAAAATCACTCACAATCCTACAAAACAGAAAAGCTGTAACAATTTTTTTCAATGGCTATTTTTCTCATATTTTATCTGTGCATCCATATACTTCTAAAAAGCAATGTTTGACCATTCTTGACAATTTAAAACTATAAACAATTTATACCTTTGTACTAAATCTATGCACATTCATGATTAACTTCTTAGGATAAGGAAAGCCTAAGATTAATCCTAAATTAAGAGGCTGAGAAGATAATGATAACATTATGCCATTAACAGAAATGTGGGGGATAAATTTGGATGAGAGATAATGAATTAAGCTTTGATCATGTTCATTTGAAGTGCCAGTAGAAACTGTGAGGGAAATGTCCCAGAGGCAGCTGCACATGTAGGCTAAAATGCAGGAGAGATATCGCAGCTATAGGTAAATATCTGGTAAAAATTACACTGGGATAATGGTTTAAGCCATAAAATTGCTTTCTATATTAGAATTAATAATTAGGGTTAACATTTATTGAGTGTCAGATACTCTTTTATGAGCATCTCATAAATCTCATTTAAAGCCCACAACAACCCTAGAGGTAGGTCCCATTTTACAGATGAAGAAACCAAGGCCTACAAAGAGATCGAGTAACTTGTTCAAAGGTACACAGCTGGTAAATAGCACAGTGGGGATTTGAACCCAGGCCTTCTGACTCAGAATCCACACCCCCAACCACAGTGCTATACCGCTTAGAGTAATATAGCAAATGAAGGCAACGCGTCCTTAGAGAACAGAAGAACGAAGCAGAAAAAAGAAAAAAAAAAAATCCCAGAAAAGAGACAAAGAAGAAAAGTTTACAATAGCACAAGAACCAAGGGTGCACAGTACATTCCAAAACCAGAAGTGACTTGCTGCAAATGACAATAGCAAATGCAGGAATCTATGTAGTGATCAACAGGAGAGTGATAAAGAGATTCAGAAGAGGCCAAGGGCAGAAATCAAGCAGAGTGGAGAACCTGTTCCATCCCCTCATGGTGCTCTGCCATGAAAAGGCTCCAGAGTCACAAGGACTGTCTGACCTGTGAGCTGTGACTGTCTGACTGTGACCTATGAGGCAGGTATCTAACTAAAGGGGTTACAAGACAGCCTAATCCAGCCCAGTGGCCATGCTTTGTTTCTCTTGAGCTATTAGTTGCATCAGAGTCAGTGAGCTTCTTTTTCACAGCCTGCTGCAACTCCAGAGTCCTTTCTTTGCTTCCTTCTACCCCGTCATTGGCAGAGTTAAGACTTGTAGGGGTATCTATAGGACATTAACACAGGACTACTGTTGGAGCACAGAGATAAGGTAACCTAGTCTATAACATGTTATTAATACCCAATAAGCCAGAGCGGGAAAATGCAAGTACTGTATCATTTTCTCTTTAAAAGGGTTGTATTAAGGGCGCCTGGGTGGCTCAGATGGTTAAGCGTCTGCCTTCGGCTCAGGTCATGATCTCAGGGTCCTGGGATCGAGTCCCGCATCGGGTTCCCTGCTCAGTGCAGAGCCTGCTTCTCCCTCTCCCTCTGCCACTCCCTCTGCTTGTGCTCTTCTGTCTATCTCTCTGTCAAATAAATAAATAAAATCTTTAAAAAAAATTAAATTAAATTAAAAAATAAAAGGGTTGTATTAATAAATAACACAAGTTCCGGCCAGCTCTCCCTACTGACTCCTACACCAGCATCTGTGGCTCCTAACTAGCTTCCACCGGAAGAGTAGAAACTCTGATGTGAAGCATTAGCCTCGGTAGCTGGCATGGGGGGTAGGGAGGCGGGGAGGGGGGAGAATGAGTGAGTTAGTGGGAGGCTTGCCAAGAATACTGCTGGAGTAACCAACCAGCACTATGAAAGATCAGATAAGTGAGGTAAAGATGGTCTTAGGACTTCTCCTCCTGGACTTCTTCCCCTTTTACCGCCCCCAGAAGGGTCCTAAATCAGTCCTAGGGCAAAAATAAGCAATGGTAGCAGGGTAGCATGAGGTACGCATAGAAATGCTTAGAAACAGAAGTTATGTGAGGAATGAAACAGTTCCTCAAACTCTGTCAAAGTTAGAGGCAAGAAAACTTCCTGTGACTACCTGTCATTCCTCAGTGCACTGTTCTAATAGGAGGTGGCACAGTTTCCTTCTCCCTGCTTATCCTTTAAGACTAGCACAATGTAAATCTAGTATTGACTGAGAAAATACTATGTCCCAGCACACTACTGTAATAGTCTATTGACTTAAAAACCTCAAAAGCACAGTGATGTTTGGGAAGAACAGATGCTCTGCAAGGACAAGCTCTATTTATTCTCATAATCACTCAATGTATGCCTCTGCCATTTCCCGTCACACACCAGGTGATCTGACAGATAACCAGATGAAACTCCTTCAAACTAAAGAGCAATATATAACAAAGTCCCAGGTGCTGATGCTGATGTTGAGCTATTGTTGGGGTCTCAAATCTAACAAAATACCTTGTTCATCCTTTTAAAACTTCCTTTCATAAACATAAAGCTTTCATTTAAAAAATACCAGAAAAAAAAAAATACCAGAAGATTCAGAAAAGAACTTGTTCTCTCTCTGACGGAACCTACAGTTTAGGCCTTCTTCCTGAACCTTGAAAGTAATTTCACAAGAATATATACTCTATCACTCCAAAGACCCAGAAGTACTTCTTATAAAGGCTTTTATCATTTTTTGAAAAAGCAGCAAAAAGCAAATCTCTTGGCAGAATAAGATAGGAAAAAAGTTCTTTTTTCAATATGATAATGTCAAAATGGCAGATGTTGGCACAGCCCAGAATCCAAAGTAGCCTAAAGCCTCCCAGAGTTATCCTGGTGGCAATCCAAACGTGCCACCCAAGTGTCTGTGTCATCTCCTTCTGTTTCTGTGTCCCATCAAGTCCTTTTCCCCCTTTCATCTCATCCCTAATGTTTCTTGCTTTGAAATACGTGTCAGACATAACACACTTTAGAAATCTAGCAGCAATATTTCAGAGCACAAGTAGATTATTGAGACCTGAAAGAGAGTTTCTTTGGACATTTCTGAGTCAAAACTTCAATACAGATGAAACAAAGGCTTTTTATTGTTGTTGTTGTTGTTTTTCTCCTAAAGGTTGCATTATTCTGAAGCAATGGAATTTCAATTTTCTTTTGATACCAAACAGACAAGCTTCCAACAGATCTCCCTTACAAAGCCACCAACTAGACCTACCATGTCTAATTTGAGGTCAAAGAAAAATATTTCATTCCTTGAAAAGGTGGAAACCACAGATGCTTCAATAAATTAAACACTAATCACATACTGATTGTATATCATCTGGATGAAAGTGACCGCTTTCAGAGAACTCCATTTTGAAAAAAAACGTTTTAAAAATTCAAATAGTCCATATAAAAGCCAGAGTAGACAACACCCCTTGTGCTGAGAAGTATCACCACAGTGGCAGGAGAGTTTTCACAGATCAACACAACCAACATCAGAATTCATGACCAAATCATGACAACAACCTCGAGTGTCTGTACTTCTGTACAATGGTCAATGGCAACATAAATCAAGAGCATGTTCTCAGTCAAGAAGAGATAGTGACTATGTTGCTAGAAGGAAAGAAAAATTCATGGGGGGAAATTCTGTGCAACACTGGGTAGTTGCAAAAAGCCTTCTGCAAAGAGAATAGGGGATAAGCAATCATGCTTATGACAAGGCTGGGTACTTTGAAAGTCAGGGGGTGATTTTCACATTATATTCCTAGCCTAGAGCAATGTTTCTCTGGACAATAATATTTGCTCTTGATTTGTCCAGCCAAACTACTTCACTCCACTGCTTCTTGATCAATGCTCCTTGGTATCTGGCCTCCCCTGGAATGATAGTCGTTAGGATTAAATAAGCAATTTAAAAACTAATCAATCATAAATCAGAATAAATCCAAAGAAGTTAAATTCAGCAGACAAATGTTTTGTCTAAATTCCCTTTGCAGTGCTCTGAATTCCAACTGTTTTATGTTCTTCATTTGAAAGGGCACAGGGAGGAGAGGATTACTTCAGCCTGGCCAGTAAGGAATAACTGTGCTTTCCCCAAGGCTGGATGATAATTGACTCATTATTCACAGTCATAGCTCTCAAGCTGCCAAGACACAAATGTACAACCCTGGCCCGGAAAAAACGTGTGTCAAAGCCCAAGATGAGGGACACAACAGCAATAAGTTGAAATTTTTGAAACATCCAGTTTTAGGTACTCACAGAGAGAAAAATGTGAAGAGAGAGTAAAGTAGCTGAAAGTTGATTTACGGGAAGAAAATCCAAGTGTCAGTTGAGTTATGCAATCCATTCAATCTGAAAAGTTATATTCCGGGCATCAACGATATGCAAGGCGACAAAGATGGGCAAGACCCAGTCCCTCCCCTTACAGAGTTGACAAACTAAGAAGTTAAGACCGGTATGCCAACCACCAAAAGAGAACACACCTATGGCAGACAATGGAAGGGAGTCCAAAGTAAGAGAATGGCAAAATCACAATAGGTTTGGGAGAATCACAGAAGGCTTCACATAGGCATGGAGCATCTGAGCTGGGCTTTGGAAGGCAGTGACAGTTTCAACAGGTGAGCACTGCTGAGGTTA